GCAACAAATAAAAACCTAAGAACTCAAATATATCCAGAAAACACAACAAAATAGGAATTAAACCAATAAAACTAAAAAACATGGAGCAAAGTAAAACAAAAGAAAACATAACAGAACCAAGACCGTGATGGCAATTCTGTGAATAATTGGCTTTGCTTTAAAAAAAAAAGAGGAATTAATTAGATTTAATTAGAGAAAAATCTGTAATTTACAAACAAATGGTTTAAATAAGTGTGAGAAATCTGTTTTTATTTGCAATGGTAACATACAGCAGTTGCTATGCAGAGGTCTGTGAGCAGAACGACTCAGGCAGAGGAAGGAGTCTCTTCCTCTCTACGCTGTTGAACTGAGGGAAGGAAGCCTGGAAGGGTCTATCAGGAAGGCACTTTGTAAATTTCTAGATTGTAAAATCTACAGCTCTTAGCTCCCGCCTTTAAAGTAAAAACTGTGCAAAACCAAAGCTCTATAGGAAAGGTATATCTGATGACCGGCTTAAAGGCATTGCTGCACTGCAAAAAATTGAAATCTATATGAGCCATTTTTGCTTAAATTAAGTGCATTTTCTCTTGAATTGAGGAGGTAATTGAGATACTTTGCCAATGGAACAAGACATTTTACATTTAAAATAAGAAAAAAACAATTGCTTTGTCTTATTTCGAGTGCATATTATCTAAATATCTTGTTTTAGGAGTAGAAATACTCATTCTACTGGCAAATTATTTTATTTATCTTCTAAAATGAAAGGTAAATACACTCAATTTTAGAAAGTTTTTACTTAATTCTTGATGGTTTTTGCAGTGTGAGGTGTGCTTTTTTTTAATGGCCTAAAAACACCATTAAATGATTGTATGGAGTGAATTTAGTTCCAGTATCTTTGCAAGAAAAGAACAGGTTTTGTAAATGTGACTGAAAAAAATGCAACCCAGAAATTTAAATTTCAAAAAAGTTTTCAGGGTAAAATTGCTGTTTTCTCTTTTTTTAATGTTTTTTTTTTGTTTGTGTTTTTTTTTCCTAAATGTTATTTTTTCAACATGCATTTATTCAAAATGTATTGTTACAAATATTTTTTTTATTTTATAAGTTTTTGTTATTTTGACTTTTTTATATTGACTTCAAACTGAATATAAACACTCACCAATAAAAAAGCTGTTGTAAACGGCAAGCAGACCATCCATCCATCGTCTCCCACTAATGTCAGGGTAGCGAGGGGAGCTGGTGTCTCTAGCTGTCTACGGGTGAGAGGCGGCGTCCATCTTGGACAGGTCTCCAGTACATTGCAGGGAAACACAGAGACAAACATTCACTCACACCTAAGGAGAATTTAGAGAAGCCATTTAACCTAACAGTCATGTTTTTGGACTGTGGGAGGAGGCTGGAGTACCCGGAGAGAACACATGCATGCTCAGGAAGAACATGCAAACTCCATGGCCGGGAATCAAACCCAGAACCTTCTTGCTGCAAGGCAGCAGTGCTACCCACTGCCCCACTGAGCAGCCCTCAAGCAGACCAATAAGAATAAAAAAAAAATTCCTCATTAAGAGAATTTGATCTATAAAAGAAATTTGAAAAGTAATACAAGATAAAATCACATTTGACATTCGAAGAAGAAATTGTGAAAAATAACAATAATTTTTAAAATAAAATCAGAGAAAACAGATAAATAACTTCTAAAAGTCATTAGGGTTAAGGTTTCCTAACAGTGTGACGAAACCTCAACGTCTGTCGTTGTTTCCTGCGTCTGGAAGCCCTGATTAAACGATCGTTTGTCGTTTCCACTTCCCAAAATCCGACTCTTTCAAGTAAATTCACCAAAGGCTGCCTTCTTCAGCTGACTCTCCACAAACTCTCTGGATGTTACGGGCGACGCCATGTTGGTTTGCTTGTTCACCTCTAGAGAGCAGTAGTACCGTAGATCGCCACTAGGAGGCGAGGAACCGTGCTAGAGTGGTGTGTAAACGGTCGTAAGGAATGGAGCTATAGACTTTGAAGACATGCTTCTCCTGGATGAGCTTGGGGCGAAAACCTTCTCTTGAATTTTGTCGCTGACTCTTCAGCAATTCCTCACACCAAGCATGCATATAGCGACAATGGAGAGGAAAAACTCCCTTTGAACAGGAA